GCCGTCTAACAATTTCATTACTTTCAAATCGAAGATACAAAGTCAGTATACAGAACTTTCGGAATACAAATTATTACATAAGAAGATATATGCGCCATATTATGAGAAAGATACAAAAAAAAAAGTGAATTTGACGACACTTTCCGTAGACGAGCCTTAGTCGCTAACATATTAGATATGTTATTTTCCTTCTCCGTATACAATCTTACTCTGATGCAATTTTCCTTCTCTTGGCTAAACCTCCAAATAGCACACCGCATGAAAAACCTAATGCTTCCGAAAAAATTTCTGAAATTTCGACAACCCAATACCAATCATTCCGTATCGGAGTCATTTTAAAAGATGTTGACTTTGATTTTCACCCGATTTGATCCCAATAGAATTTTATTCCTGTGTCGGCTTCCAACATCCTTGGCGATGTCACAATCTCATTTGATAATACCCGGATCAAAGACCCATATGACATCGATAAACCATTGAAAAAACCAAATAATTGGTCGAAACTTCTGATTTGATGAAAACACCAAAAGCCACTTCCATATATAAGGAAGATCACACAGGAATACAAGGATAGTACCGTCGACTTAAGTTGAAACTCCAATGAACTTTTTTCCTCTATTCCTGAATTCGCCCTCAATTTGAGAGGAAAAAACGATCTAGAAAGAGATTGAAAATCATCAACAACGAAAACCGACGCCACTGACGATGGTTCCAGACTTTTCCGATAAGCAAAACCGATTTTGAAAAAAAGCGAGAATAGATTTTCACTCGCCAACACCAAATTCGTATTGCCGAAGAACCAAAACCGTAATGAAAGAGTCTCTATAGATCGATTGAGAATTTTAGAATCCTTAATTGCCATCTCTTCCTCTTTCGATGATGCAGTATGTATCGCTCATTCAATCGCCTGAGAAGAAGAGAGAAGGCGGTTTTTTTCCCCTTGATTGAGTATGCAAGATTCCATCTTTATCACAAAGATAGTGGGAGAAAAATATATAAACTTGAAAAAATAAAAACAGATGAAAAGAGGATTTTTCGTGGCATTGCTCTTTTTATAAGCAATTTGAAGAATTTTTTTTACTGCTTGTAAAATTGAGCCTAGTCTATACAACGTTTCAAAAATTTGACCGTTGAGAATTTTTACTGTTCAACGGATATGACTTAAATATTGTTTACTTTTGTTTTATTTATTTTTTTGGTCAGCCAAGTGTTACTTCTTTTTTTAGTGTATTACGATCATTGGTCACTGAACCGTCTTAAGACTTTGCTTCAATCTTGTGTTACTTTATACAGAACCTTCAATCTTTGTGTTACTAACTCAATAATCATATTGGATTGTAATGTTTTTGATTTTGATGTTCATCATTCTCACGTGATCGAATTCATTAAAGATAATTCGGCTATCTATTGTAGACTGTATAATTAAATAAAAATTTATTAGCTAGACAAGTCGGCTATGTTGGTATTTTATATCATGATTGATGATGTTGGATGCTTATCTGAAATAACTTTATTATATTTCCAAAAACCAAAAATCATGCAACATTAAACACATGAGGTAAGACAAAACGTGCAGATAGATGCAAAATAAGGGTAGTTTCGTAAATCTTCGAACGACTTTTTGGATATCACGCGGCAGAGAGACGACTTTTTAAACCGATTCTTGTAAAGTCTTAACCTTTCAGACCAAGAAACAAAGAAAGCGATGGACCAAAACAACGTCGTTGGATCAAGAGGTAAAGGCAAAGAAGTGTCCGGTTCGTCCTTGATGGAACCAAAACAAAGCGGAGTGATTGTTGTTATTACCCGGCCATCGCCTTTCGATGACTTGCCAGAGGATTGCATTTCCAACATAATCTCTTTTACAAGTCCTCGGGATGCTTTGTGTCTCTAGTTCTGTTTCCAAAACGTTTGAATCCGCGGTTCAATCCGATAGTGTGTGGGAGCTCTTCCATGGGTTCACTGCCTGCACCATGGATCGCCTCTCTGAAACCACCATCGACGCCGAAGAAAGAGGTAAGCACAAGGTTCGATCGACTTCGGGTGGTGATATTTCCGGTACCCGTTCGCAGCCCCTTGCCTCTGGCAAAGATGTCTTTCCCCATGGTGGCCTCCTCTAAACCGAAGCCACTAGCTCCATCGCCGAGATGCTCACCCTGTCCTGATTTGGGGAGGTCCAGTGTGCTCATAGAGAGACCGCCGGATCCGCCCGTCCCCCCGGATCCGCCGGATCTTCTTCCTCTGGTGATACAGTTCACCAGCCCTCGCCCAACCGGATCTAGTCTCCCCCGCAAGCGGTTCTTCCCTCTGCTCCGCCTTACCCCCTTTGGCCATCTCGGGAAAGTTTGAAACCAATGACAAATCTTCACACGCTGCCGTTGAGAAGCTCCGACAACCGCAACTGGGCTCCTCACGCAGCCGATGCAAACCCCCATCACGGAGAAGCTGCACACAGTCGCCTTACCTCAGGCAAGCAACTCCAACACTTTGGGCTAGGCCCATTAAGATTATAGATTTACGGAGCCCAATAGGCCCAAATCCTTTGCCAAATTTATTGCTCCCATCTGCGGAGATTCGTATTGACGGCCGGATTTGTGGCTCCGGTGAAGCATGCACCAATATTCCGACCAACATCTACGGTCAGAGTTTTTGCTCCGGTGAAACTGAATTAGTTGATCTGGATTTGGTCTCTCGGGCGAGGTGGTTCATCACTGCCAAATTCAAAGAAGACACCTCCGATGAACAACCGAGTACTCTCACCGTATTCAACAAGCCTTTAACGGCTTATAACGACCCATATCTAAGAGTTTCAAAACTCTCATCCGCTTTTGAGCAAATTAACTTCTCTTTGTCGAGAAGAACAAAGTTTTCTGGGTTCTCAAACCTTGTAACCTCCTCCTTTTGGGAGAGATCTCATCCATACCCTTTCCTATTCGGGACGAGAACCGTTCTACCATTTCTTCTCTCATGGAGAGTAAGAACCTTCTCGGAACTAACACCGAGTAATTCCATATCCGACTTGTATTATTGTTTAGCGTCTTCTATGAGGCTAGAAGATGCAACCGAATTCGTCTTGACGAATATCAGAGGAATGGGTAACCCTTCAAAGTCGCGTGTCAAAGCGACTAAATCTATGTTTTTCGGCTTAGCCGTGAATCCTATACCGACACATCAAGATTTTCTGTGATTCGCAGTCGTATAACTATGTTGTCTTTTATGTTTTAGTTTCTCATGCTTTCATGTATCGTACTATAATTCCTTGTAACCTCATTGTTTAAGGAATGAAAAAGACGTTGCACAAAAAAAAAAAAGGATTTGATTCTTTATGATTTAAGAAAATTCTTGATATACTTTAGAGTAATTTGGTGTTATGTGAAGTTCAAATTCATGCATCTATTCCATATTCCTGATTGTTTTGAGGTTTTTTTAATATTTGTTTTCAATTCGAAAACCAAAGAGCTTTTGGTTAGAGAAAGCGAGTGGGAAGAAGTGTGTAATGCTAGGTGCAAGGCAACTCTGGATCACATGGGGAAAAAGTCCTCAATATTGGCAATGGATTTCAATTCCTGAATCTAGGTAACTCATTTTTTTCCCCTAAAATTCGATTAAATGAAAACATTTTGATTAGAGGTGGTAAAAAAAAATCGTGATCGGATTGTCTACTCTTAATGATGATGAATTGATGATAATAAATAAATGTTGCAACACATTGTGTTAAGCAGGTTTAAAGAAGTACCGGAGCTTCTCAATGTATGTGCTTTCGAAATGGGTGGTAATATGAATACTCAAATCTTATCTCCGGGAACTCATTACAAAGCTTACGTTGTGTACAAGATAAGAAACCGACGTCACGGCTTAAGGGATTTGCCCATACAAGTTGGAGTTGGGTTTAAGGGGCAAGAAAAGCCTAAAAAATTCATATGTTTTGATGAGTCTACGAATAAAATCAAAGAGTGGCCAAAGAGGGAGCTAATGAAATCAGAGAAGAGGGAAGATGGGTGGATAGAGGCAGAGATTGGGGATTTCTTCAATGAAGGAGGATTAATGGGTTTTGATGAAATTGAGGTGAGTATTGTTGACATCACTTCTCCTAATTGGAAGTGTGGTGTGATCATTCAAGGAATTGAATTCCGGCCAACGGATACTCGGTAAGGTGTTCTCGGTTTACTCCGGTGGAAGAACTTTTGATGATTTCCGGTTATGTTTTTGTTGTAATCTTTCTGGAAAATAAAAGTACTTGTGACATGATTTAAAGTTTGTGGATTGTAAGGCTTGTGAATTTGGGTTCTTTTATTTTGATGTTCATCATTCTCATCGTTGTGGTACATTATATACCGTTTTAATAGCTATTAATCACAAAAAAAAAATTAATAAAAGCGTTATGAAAAACGATACACTCAGCTTTTTTCATGGCTATTTACTGCTACAGTTCTCTCTAATCGCTAAAAAATTATACCGTTATAGATCATCAATCGGACCTTAGATTTAATATAGTGAAATTGTGTGTTGTTCTTATCATTGTAGAATTTATTGATTTCCTTTGATGCCCACATTTTTGAAGTAGTGAGGTAAGGTTTTTTTTTTTTGTTTTCTTGGGTCACATGTAAGGTTATTTTAAGAATAGTTAAAGAGAAGGAGAAAACACGGTTGTTAAAAAATTTCACCCTTAAAAGTTTAAAACCTATAAGTAACGAGTCTCATCTCTTGATCCTTTGTGCTTAAGTGTCGCATACGGTGCATTCATATTTCTTTGGTTTGGTCCTAGACGAAAGATTCTTTAGCT